TCTCTCTTAGTCTGGAAACTCTCCTGAAATCTGTCCACCATGGGTCACCCTGCTGGTATTGGAAATACTGGTCACATAGCTCCAGCATCACAGCAACACCCAAGCTACCACCGTGTGACAAACTGACAGGCAGGCAGTGGTTAGCCCTACCTTCCTCCTTTCATGTTAAGTATTTGAAATCCAGTGTGTATTTTGCACAAACAGCACATCTCAGTTTGCATCAACCACATTACAGGTGCTCAGTGACCACATGTGGTGAACAACGGCTATGTTGGGCAGTGCAATTCTAGACCCAGCAACTCTGTTGTGTGACCCCCCTCACTTTTCCAAAACTCCATTTCCCTGTTTATGCAGTGGGGGCTTCGAAGTAGATAATGTCAATGCCACTTCTTCATCCAGTGCTGAAAGTGCAAAGCTGTAAGGCAAACTGGAAAAGGGTGATCACGCTAAAATGTGTTGTTACTGAGTCACATCTGACCATGTCAACCCGTGTGTCACAACAGAACTGCATTCCGTGCAGCTTTTAATGATTGTAATCACCAGGTTTTCTTCAGTGGAGCCTCTGGGTGGGTTCAACATTTCAGTTAGCAACCAAGAAGAAACCCTTTGCACTGCCCAGCTGAGTTTCTCCATCCGTCAAAGGAGGACGACATGGGAAGAGTACTGTTACTTTGTGGGGATTGCAGTGACGGTCACCCAGCAAAATGGGTATGAATTGTGGAATGGAAAACCAATTTGCTCTGTAAACTGTCACCCAAATCACCGTTTAAGGGAAAAGAAAAAAGAAAAAAAAAAATGAGGATGATAAAATCTGACCCTGGTCTGGGTGAGGGTGAAAACTGTTGGTAATGGAGGGGAATGTGTTTTGGTGAGGACCAGCAGGGCAGCCCAGCGTTGAGAAATTGCCATTTGGATAATGACTGACAAGGGAGAAGGGTGGGAATCCGTCCACTTAGCCAGGGCCACCTCCTCCATTGACTTCCCTGAACCTCTGTCTCCTGGTCCATGAAGTGAGGGATCTAACACAGTACTTACTTCCCGTGAGGTTGTGGTAAAGATTGAGGGAGGTACCTGCAGCGGGCTCCCTGCCATTCCCACCATGTGGTGCACCCTGTCACTGAGAGTCGCTGCGATGACCGTCCTCCTGTCGCCAAACGAGGTGCAGGGTGGGGAGCAGGTTGTCCAAGGTCACACTTTGAGGTGGAGCAGACGCTGGCCTATTTTGGCTCCCTCGTTCTCTCTGGCAGCCGTCCCCGAAAGTCAGCCGCTAGTTCCCCCCTAGCAAAAGGTAAATGGAATAAACACAGGTGAAACCGCCAAGCGACTTGTGTGAGGGGTGGGCCCGAGTTTCCAAGCCTGCACTCTGGCCCACGTGGGGCATGTGGTGTGCAAAATCTCAGCTCCAGAGGGCAGAGGCTGGGTTAGCAGGCTGGGATGTGCCACTAGCGCCAACTGCGTCCCCTTCCACGACCTGTCTGAGATTCCTCGGTGCGATTTCAAGGGCACAGGCCCTTCCAGCTGGTGCATGTGTCCCTGTGGCTGGATGGTGATGAGAGAGAAAGTGCAGCGAATTGAAAGCCGGGGAACCCAAATTATGATTTATTATGTAACAGTGAGAGGAAGCTGTCACAGTTTTCCTACTGCTGCTGTAGTAGAAAAGGAAACCAAGGCAGAAATACCACAAATGGGTAGGCATTTATTTTCTCACAGCTGAGGAGGCTAGGAGTTCAAATTCAGGGCGCTGGCTCTAGTGGAAACCTTTCTCTCCCTGCTGGCTCTGGGGGAAGGTCGTGGTCTCTCTCAGCTCCTGTACCCAGTGTTCCTTGGTTCCTTGGGCAGTCAGTCCTCACATGACATCTCTCTTCCCCTGTTTGTGCTCACTTCTGTGTTGAATCCATTCTCATTTAGAGCTCAAAAGTGATTGGATTTAGGATACACCCTGCACTGAGAGATCCTCGCTAACATAAAGAAAAACCCTATTCCGGAAGGCACTTACCTCCACAAGTATGGGGGTTAGGGTTCCAACACGTATTTTGGGGACACGATTGAGTCCATGACAGAAACTCTTTTTTTGAGGTTCATTCTGCATGTGTTCTTCTATTAAATCTTCCAAGTTACCCCAAGGGTCAGTTATTAGAGTGACCCCACTGTACAGATAAGGAAACTGAGGTTCAGAGAAGATGAGAACATAAGGATCTTACCCAGAAATACACAGACAGAGCCAGGAAGGCCACTGGGCTGAGGGGCACCTCGATGTGGGACATTCACAAACCAGGACATGATGGTCACCCTAGAGCAGCTTAATGTCCTCATCTGTGACAGTTGGCCCTGACCTTGATTAGGATGACGATGCAAAATATGACAGTGGGAAGGATGTGCTTTGGGGAGGAAGAGAGGCACAGTGTGGTGGGATTGCCACTTGTCACTTGGATTGTAACTGAAAATGGAGAGTAGTCTGTGCTTTATTCAAAGAGCAGAGCCCAATTCCAAACTCGAGAGAGATCTGGAGGTCCCAGCAACCTGAACTCCAACTAGACCACAGGCGGGGCTGGGGAGAGTTAAGGAGCAAGGGCAGGATGGACCAATCTTCCCCCGTGAGTGGTTAGTTCCACACTAGAACCTCAGGAGCGAGGTGCTAAGAGGCAGCCAGTCAGTCAGCACACGGGCCACACACGCTTACACACAGCAGGGAAGTGGCCCAGTGTGCGGGCGATGCATGGATACACAGAAGCACACACATGCCGTGATGGCAGATGGAGCAGCAGCCCGGCTGGGCCTGGAGACTCGATGATTCCTGCACCCACACAGGCTGGCGCACTCGCGTCATCATGCAAGCCGCAAGGGGGGAAGCCGAACTCGCTAGCCTCCCCCTCGGAGGACCCAGGAAGTAGTACCTCCTTCTGGTAGGATGTCTGGGCACCCACCTCCTGCTCTCAGAGGCAGCAGGCTTTTGTCAGCTGCCTCGGCCCTGGAGTGACCCTGGGAAGTCACTAAAAGGGAAACGAGGGAGTGAGTGTCACTTTGTTGGTGGTGGCAGATGGGGGCTCCCTCCTTGTGCTGAAATGTGATGAGGATGCTGGCAGGAGAGGATGCTGGGATTGGGACAGGGCTGGACTGGAGCTGGCAAGGAGGTTAGGGAAAGAGATGAAGGGGGTCCTCTGCTGTCCCAACCCCATCCCATCTACAACCCATGGATTACCTGCCCCAATGCACACAGGTAAGGCACTCTTACGCAGCTACGCACATACACAACCTCCTGCTCACTCCGATGGGGGCCCACATGCCCACACTTGGGCCACAGCACCCCAACCTTGGCACCGTGTTGGCCTTTGGTACCCCACACACCACATCCCTGCGAGTCTAGGGGAGTCAGTAACTTGGAAATTGCCAGCAAGATTGACGTTTCAGGGAACAAAGTTAGAAGCTGAGAAGATGGCTATAACATAAGTTCAAAAAGTCAGAGAAGTGGGGCAGATCTGAAGTTCAAGTCCTCCCTCTGGCATTACTGTCTAAGTGACATTGGATGAGTTATTGAACCTTCCCAAGCTTTGTTCTCCTTGTTAAAGGGGTTATTGTGAGGATCAAAGGAGAAAGTAATGCATAAAGAGCTTAGAGGTTGGCATCTCATAAGCGCGCAGTAAGTGTCTGCTGTGTTTAGTAGCAATCAGTGAAACACCTTTGAATCATGGTGGTATGATCCACAACCGATCTTGGGGACCGTGTAGGTATGGACAGCATTCTGTCCCATTGTTCACGGGGTCGCCGTCAGTCAGGGGCAAACTTGACCACAGCTAAGAACAGCAACAACAAATACTTAGTCTTTTGGCATTTTTCATTGCCATTCGACAGTCGTTGGGTACCTGCTATACCCTGTGATGACCGTAGAGATAGAGTCCACTACTGATGTTCCTCTGTTAGGGCTTCAGATGGTCTGTGGACCACAAGTGTCCCCCAGTTATTTTTGTGGACCCCTCTCTTTGGTATGTATAATGTGTTCAGTGTACCCAAGTCTCCCCTTTTGAAGCTGGAACAAGTTAATAATCACAAAAAAAACGGTGTAGGCAAGCCAGTTGTCTTCCCTCATTGGCGGCGTCATTCCTGCTCCAGTTGGTTCTGTTATCGGTGCTTTGCTAGTGGCTGGAATGGAAATTCCAAAGATCCATGCCAGCTGAGAGCCTGATGTGTGAATGGAGGATGTTTGCAAAACATACAGAGCAAAGGCTGTGGGACAAGTTGAGTGGTGAGTTCTTGGGACGGGCAAGAGCTAAGACAGGTCTTATGATTCCTGCTATTTGATTTCTGAGCCTGGGAGACCCTTTGGTCTCGGATGACTTTGACCATGGAGATAAAACTAATGGAGAAAGGTGTCCCCCTAGAGGGAAAAGGAATTGACTTTCTAAGCTGACTTCTAAACTCTGGAGTGTCTTGTAGCTAGACTTCTCAGTGGGCTTCCTTTTGCGTCTGCATTTTGAAGGTGGTGTTGGACGCTCTGTGTCAATCTGTCCTTTTTTCCTTTTTCCATCCCTTCCCTTCCTCCTCTTCAGCTCAAGAAGCCATAGACCTGGTGTGCATCTGATGAGCTGGCAACCACCATGTCCAGAGAATAGTCCACACCTAATGTGCATCATCTCTAGACACAGCCACCGGACACTGCTCCCTACCCCCTACTCTGCTGGACCTGGTGTGTAGGGACACATTCAGTGCTGCTCCTGACGTCTGCCTGGTCAACCATCATTTCCTTAGAGAACAAGGAGGGAGACAGATGCACAGAATCATGCCACCGACAGCCAGGCAATGAGTGAGTGACGTCAAGTTGACGTCAGAGCCAGAGACGACCGAAGCCTAAGATCAGCTCCACGCTCACGACTCCTCCAGTCCCTGCAGCACCATCTCTCCAGCTCCTCCACTCAGTAGAGCCTGAAACCTGGCTCCTCCTGGTGAAGTCATCTTGGGTTGATCCACTCGTGATCTTCAGAAGGGACCCTTAGAAGCTGGGCACCATGGAGGAGCACATGTTCAGTGTTCAGCAAATCCAACCCAATGTCATTTCTGTCCGCCTCTTCAAGCGCAAAGTGGGAGGCCTGGGCTTCCTGGTGAAGGAACGAGTCACCAAGCCACCCGTGATTATCTCTGACCTGATTCGAGGGGGTGCTGCGGAGCAGAGCGGCCTCATCCAGGCTGGAGACATCATCCTGGCGGTCAATGGGCAGCCCTTGGTGGACCTGAGCTATGACAGCGCCCTGGAGGTGCTCAGGGGCATTGCCTCTGAGACCCATGTGGTCCTCATTCTGAGGGGCCCCGAGGGCTTTACCACACATCTGGAGACCACCTTCACTGGGGACGGGACCCCCAAGACCATCCGGGTAACACGGCCCCTGGGTCCCTCCACCAAAGCCGTTGATCTGTCCTACCAGCCGTCAGCCAGCAAAGAGCAGCCGCTGGCAGTGGATGGGACTGCAGGTCCTGGAAACGGGCCTCAGCATGCCCAAGACAATGGGCAGGAGGCTGGCTCACTCTCCCATGCCAACGGCCTGGCCCCCCGGCCTCTGAATGAGGTCCCTGCCATGAAAAGTACCAGTGCTGGCCTCCAGGGAGGTAGGGAAAACAACAGCCTGCTTAAGGAGATAGAGCCTGTGCTCAGCTTGCTCACCACTGGTGCCAAAGAGATCAATGGAGCAGGACCTGCCAAGGCAGAGACAAAGGATGCAGAAGTCCAAGTGGACAGGTAAGACCACACCTGTGTATATATGTGTGCATATGTGTACATGCCTGCATATGGGTGCACTGCAACTCAAGCCCACAGCCCCAAAGCCAACCTGAGCTCTCAGGCATGCCTGCACATCACCACCTTTGCCCCCTTCACTTAGAATGGTAGTTTCAGGAGGGCAGAGTGGGCATGACTTCTAGGGGTATCTCTTGCCATAAAACCCCAATCATAGTGATGAACATTGTGTCTTCACATCTTTGTCCCATTCAATCCTCCAGAAACTCCCCAGGGTGGGTGCATTTGCATGTTTCCCAAATGAGAAGACTGAGGTTCACAGGACAGGGGCCTTTCCTGGGGCCACCTAGGGAGTGAGAGAGGCATGGCATACTTGGGCATGTGACTTATGCTGAGACCCTGGGGAGACCTAAACCAGCTTTCTCCTCACAGCTCCCAGCCAGGGACATGGAAGCAGAGGGGAGAATTGACCCGACTCCCAGGAACAGCAGTCTTGCTTGGGTTGTGTGGGAGCTTGGGCTAGAACTTGAAGAGCTGGCATGGGCCCCTCTGTGTTTGCCAGATTGGCATGTTCTGATGATGTGTGGAGGAGGAGAGCTGGCAACACAGTGGGCGATGCCAGCTCTTTCCCCTGGAGAGAAAAGGGCTACGTGGTCAGAGAACAGTGGGTCAGGAGATGAGACAGACACGCAGACATTGATTGGTTTCTCCCTGCCCCCTTTCACTCTTGCCTTTGGTCTGGCACTGATTCACTCCTCTTATCCAGGGCTCAGATCAGAGGCCACCCAGAAATCAGGCCAAGACTGCCACACCCTTCTCCAAGAACACCCTGAGTATTTAAGACCATCCAGAGGTCTCCAGGAAGCCCTGCAGGTGCCCAGGTCAAAGTAACTCTCCAGGCACTGCATTCATTCATCAGGATGTTCCTTGAGGACCCGCTGTGTGGCAGACATTGTTCTTGGCTCTAGGAATACAGTAGTGAAGGAGACAGGCAAGAGTCCCTGACTTTGAGGAGCTTCCAGTGCAGTGGGGAAGACCTTGGACAGCAAACAAGATCAATATGTCAAATATGCAGCCACATTAGTGACATCCTATAGGGACATGAACGGAGCAGGGACAGGAAGTGTTGGAGGCTAGGATGGGCCCCTAGGAAGGTGACATTTAAAGACCTACTGGAAGGGAGGAAGGAGTGAACTTTGGTTCTTTCCAAGCTGAGGGGCAGCAAATGCAAGAGCCCTGAGGCAGGAGAGTCCCTGGCATGTTTGAGGAATTGCATGGGATCCTGTCCTCTTCCCTGATGGAGCAGTCTTTGAAGTGCCCTTTTGGCAGGCCCCTCAGCCCCTGGAAACCCACCTTGGCCCACCATTGTATCCTGGGGCTTTTCCAGCTTCCCACACCTGGGCCTAACTGAGCCAATTCTAGCAAGACCCCTGAGCAAGCCAGGTAGGAGGATGGAGGCTCTGTTGGGAAGTCCCTGGGCAGAAGGGAAACAAAGGTGCCTCCCTGCCCTTTGAGACCCTGCCTTCCAACCCACTCCTTCTCCTGCAAGTTCTGGGGGCTCTGGGGTCTCACCTACCCCTTTGGTCCTCATGTCTGGGAGCAGAGGGCAGAATTATAGCCCAGTGCATAGAGCTTGGTGTGAACTTCCTGATGAGCTGGGGTCTAGGATTCATCCTTGGGATCTCCCAGCTGGCAGAGATTTGGGGCCGGGTTCCCCCAGGATCTCCATGGTCAATCTTGTAGGCTAGATCCAAGTCATCAAGGAGCAGCCACTCCCAGAGGTCCCCAGTTGAAGGGCATGTCCGGACCTTGGTGCACCTTCTCGACGTCCCACATACCCCTGAATCTCCTTCAAACAAAAAACAAAGCCCACTGCCATTGAGTTGATTCTGACTCATAGCAACCCTGTAGACAGAGTAGAACTTCCCCATAGGGAACCTTTATGGCAGCAGACTGCCTCATCTTTCCCCCATGGAGTGGCTGGTGGGTTCAAACCACACACCTTGTGGTTAGCTTAAGGTGCATCAACTGTACTTAACTGCTGCATCAACAGAATCTCCTTGAGTCAGCTTTAAATTCTAAAGTGGCTTTAAAAAAACAAACTGCTTGCCATTGAGTCAGTTCTGACTCATGGTGACTCATGAGCAGAACTGTGTTCCATAGGGTTTTCTTAGCTGTAATCTCTAGGGAAGTTGATCACCAGGCCTCTCTTCCGAGGCCCCTCTGGGTGGGTTCAGACTGCCAACCTTTTAGGTTAATGGTCAAGTGTAAACCATTTGTACCACCTGTTGTTGTTGTTATGTGCCATGGAGTCAGACCTGACTCATAGCAACCCCTCCTTGGGTTTCCGAGGTGATATCATTACGGAAGTAAATTACCCAACCTTCCTTCTGACGAGTGGCTGGTGGGTTTGAACCGCCAGCCTCCTGGTTAGCAGTCAAGTGCCTTAGGCACTATGCTACCAGAGCTCCTTTTGCACCACCCGGGGGCTTATAAAAAGTGGCTTTAGAATTCAGAATAATTGACAGTCGTCTTTTTTTTCCCAGGAGGTGTTGAAAAGTATCCATCCTCAAAGACCACCCCTGACATGACCTTTCCCTCCTAATCCTATGTGTCCCTCACTCGTCCTCAGCACCACCTCTCCCAAGAAGGGCCTGAGGACACTGAATGGGGACCCCTTTCTTATCTTATGTGGACAGAGTCCCCTTCCCTGTACACTGGAGTCCTGGCTATATCTGCTATCCCACACACTGGATTCTGTTTCTCAGCTGGGCCACGGGGTGTCAAGTGTCAGAGTCCCAGGGTGCTGTATAAGTCACACTGCTTGCCACCCTTAGGAGCCTGCATGTCCACGTAGGATGTGGAAAAGTCTCCTAGGGGGTCCCAGTACACCCTCCCTGGTACAGTTACAAAGTGGGGGACCCTCTGTCCCATGTGACAGTTTGAGACATGGATAGTTTGAGGCACGGTTCAGGACACTAGGCTTGAACATGACTGTGGAGTGTGAAGGACTGTCTTGGGAGCCCTCTTGGTAGTCCAGCCCCAGGAGGCCTTTCCAAAAACCATCACGGGGAAGCATCTCCTGCCTTTGTTTCCCTGTAGGATGGGAGCAGGACAAGCAGGACAAACATGAGAAGGGGCGGATCAGTTTTCCCAGAGGGGGCTGGCTTTAAGCTCTCCAGCTGCCCTCAGCCATCATGGTCCCCCCTTGAGTGACCCCATCTCACCTTGCATATGACACAGTAGTTTGACTGCTTTGGAGGAGGTTAGGCTTGGGAGAAAGTGGTCCAGGGCACGTACCAGGCTCACTGAGGTGAGTGGTTCTAAGGTAGAATTTCATAACAACGTGCTGGTTCCCACTTTTGTCAGCCCTAAAACCCCTCCATTTTTTAACAATATTTTAAATACCCCATTTAGTAATCAGAGTTGGTACAAACAGTTAACACACTTGGTTGCTAACCGAAAGGCTGCCAGTTCGAACCTACCCAGAGGAACCTTGGAAGAGAGGCCTGATGATGTACTCTTGAGAAATCAGCCAATGAAACCCTGTGGAACACATTGTACTGTGACACACAGTAGGTCGCCATGAGTCAGTCGTCTCGGCAGCAGCTGGGGGGTGTTTCTGTGTGTGAACACCCACAGTTACGTGGCCATCCCGATTGTTCCTTGTCGTGTGGGTTTACCCCTTGTGTTGTAAGATGTCTCCCACCCTCTATACCACCTCCCTCCTATTGCCATGTGCCCATCATTGTAACAGCCAGAAATGCCTCTGTCAGAATTGCCAAATGCCCATTAGGGGCTGAAACAATGTGCCTTGTTAAGAATCTGTGCCCCAAGTGAGGAAATGGAAACCCGCAAAGAGACCTTTGGGATCACTCTGGGTTCCGCAGACATGGCGGATTTGAGCCTCTTAGAGCTCACAGCTGCCTGGAAAATTCTCCTCCTCCCAACAACTTCTCCATCCAGCCCCCCTTTGGGGTCCCTGGATGCTGATCAATAAACAGCCGCCAGCCCAAGCCCCCAGCCGGCCTGGTTGGCAGTGAGAGTGACCACCCACCAGGTCTGGCCTCCCGCCTCCAGGTCACACTGCCCAGTCCGTGGCTCCGGGGGCTGAGCAGAGGCTGGGACGGTTATCAGTTCACAGCAGTGCCCGTCTCTCCTGCTCTGCTGTCCTCGTTTCTTTCCTCTTGGAAACAGACTTACCATCCTGTTCTGCCTATGCCCTTTCCCTCAGGGGCCATCCCTGCTCCTGTGGTTTGGGGTGCTGGCATTTATTTAGGAGGGGAGAGTGTTGCTTAGCCTAGAGACAGTCTTATCCCTTCATCCTGGGAGGAAGGTGGCCCTGGCAAGTGCAGGAGGGAATAAGGAAGGGAGCATGTGTCCAGGGGCTTCTGCACTGGGACAAGTCACTTTAAAATGCTGCATGTCAGAATATATCCAGGTTGCTCAGCTTGCTGCCCTGAAGGAGGGTTCTAAAGAGGCCAAGGTCCTCGATCCGGTGTCCATCTGTCCCAGCCGCTCAGCTCACTCGGCTCGCTGAGAGCCCCTCCCACTCACAGCGTACTTGGTAACTTACAAAGTGCCTTTACAAGAGTCACCTCTTTGGGGGTTGCATGAATTCTGCTCCCTTAGTAGGGCATGTGATTTTAGTTCCCTTTTATAGATGAGGGCACTCAGGCTCAGAGAGGTAGAGCAACTTGCTCAGGGTCACACAGCACTGGCCACAGGGGGCTGTCTTGGTTCTATGTAGAAGTCTCACAGATGAGTCCCAAGAGTTAGAGGAGAAACCAGGCAAAAGAATGTGGCTGGAACCATGGGAATCTGTTTCAATCTGGAGAGTGAGTTTAATGGAGGCTCCGCCTTCTCCATTAATTCTGAGTTTCATAGTCATTGTTATAGTTCTACTGAACACATGAAGGAGCCTGGCCCAGGCCAAGGGCTTTGCATTAGTTAATTCACTTATTCCTCATATCACCCCTCTGAGATATAGGTCATCTTGTCATCCCCATTTTGCTGATGTGGAAACCGAGGCTTAGAGGGCATGGTCATTTTTCCCAGGTCTCATGACTACCAAGCAACAAAGGCAGGACTTGAACTGAAGTCCATGCTATTGACCGTTCCTGACCTGGTCTTTTACAGTGTTGGTCACAGTGCACTTGGCTACTAGCCATTGAGTTTCTGAAGACATGGGGCTATTTCCTGAGAGTCCAAAAGGAGACTGGAGCTCTGAGTTGCCGTGTACTAAAGATAGCACACCCACCATTGAGATGCCCTGAGTCCCAGGCCTCCTTGGGGTACGTGGGGGCCCTCCTTCATTTGTTCTGTGCTCCTCATCCCCTTCCCTCGTTTCACGGCCTTGGAAACAACCCTGGATCCTGATCATCTCGAGTTCTTCTCATCTTGTTACGGAAGGAGTTAATTTAATGAGAGGAATTTAAAAGATAAGGGTGGGTCCCACTCCATAGTTTTCATCATTTAACAACCACCCCACATGCACATGTTTTATTCATCCTTGAATCCCCCAGCATTTAGCTCAGAGCTGGACCTAAGGTAGGTCCCACTGGAATAAAGGGAGGGAGGGAGGAGGGAAGGGAGAAAGAAGAGAGGAAACGGAGGAAGGTATTTCACCCCTGACTCACTCTCCTTATAGCGTGGGGGTGGGTGGGTCAGCTCTCCCTCATCAGGAAGTGGTGGTTAGAACTCTCTGCGTTAGAACCAACTTCAGATCAACCAAGTGGCGTTGACTGCAGGACTGAGTCAGGAATTCCACGCAAGCTGTGTTTTTTTGACATGCCTCATAACTTTAAATCACTCCAATGGTGTTTTTCAGCAGTCTACCAAAACCGAATCCAATCACTTTGGCTTCATGCTGGATCTCAGTGCAGTTTTTCTTTTTCTTTTTTTTTTTTTTAAACTTTTTATTACAATTTGGGTGAAATTTTATAAGCAGACTTTGATTATGTTGCTTTTCTCTTCGCCCAAATCAACTCCTATCTCTTCACTAACAACACCGTCCTGACTGCCTTTCCATATGGAAGTTGTGCAGTTGTACCATTTATTTCATCTCTTTGCTTTGTAGTTAGTGTCATTTACAGATTGACTCCTCTGGTTCTCTATTTTCTGTTTTGAGAGCTTATTTTAGATTTGTGAATTCTTTTCCTGGGCTGGTTTCTGGGTGGTGTTGTCATGTGTCTTAATCTTAAATTGTTGTCTTCTGTTGGTTTTCCATTGATAAGACTCCCTTTAGCATTTCTTGTAGGGTTAGTCTGGTTCTTACAAATTCCCTTAATTTGTTTGTTTGGAAATGTCTTAATTTCACCATCATTTTTGAGGGACATTTTAGCTGTATATATAATTCTTGGTTGGCAATTCTTTTCCCTCAAGGTTTTGTACATGTCACGCCATTGCCCTCTTGCCTGCTTGGTTCCTGCTGAGAAATCAGAGCTTAGTCTTATTGGTTGACCTTTGCAGGTAACTTTTTGTTTTTCCTGAACTGCTCTCAAGATTCTTTGTCTTTGGTTTTGGAAAGTGTTCTGGTTCCCTAGTGCCGCTCTGACAAGAATATACCACAAGTGGGATAGCCTTAACAAACAGAAGTTTATTCTTAGAATTTGGAGGCTTTACGTCCAAGTTCAAAGTGCCAGGTTCTAGGGGCTGGGTGAAAGCCCCTCAACCTTGGGGTCCAGCTCTGCTTCCTGCTCCCGGCCCAGTGGAGCTAGAGGCATTTCTTCACTCAGACAGCTGCTGGCTGCTGAGGCTGAGAAGCCCCAAGGTTGACAAGGAAAAAGGCATAGTCCCGATGTTACCAAACTACACGACAGGCCATTAACTTAAGTCCATTGTAAGTCCCAAGGTCGGCAGAGCATGGCAGGCTGCTGAACAATGACACGGCTACATGCAGGGTCCAAGCATGCCATAGGCTAGAGACCATTCCCAAGGCTTCTCCTTAAATACAGGAAGCAGACCACATCCCAAAGGCAGACTACTCAGCTGCTTGTGGTAGATCCCACCATGGAACTGATTACTGGTCTCATCATGGGGAATAACTACCACCAGCTGCTCAGCCACTCAGCCAAGCCCAGCCAAGTTGACACACAAACATAACTACCACAGAAAGTGTGATTATGATAGGTTTTGGTGACTTTCTCTTGGGTTTGATCCTATATGGGGTTTGTTGAGCTTCTTAGATGGATATCTTTTCATCCTTCATGACATTGGAGAAGTTTTCTGCTGGCAGGTCTTCAACACTTTTCTCTGTGGGTTTGGTTTGGTTTTGTTTTTGCCCTCCTTTTATTCTGGAATTCCAATCAGGCATATGTTCTTTTTTTTTTTAATGCGTTTTATTGAAATATAATTTAAGTACAATGAAATACACAAAACTAAAGTGACATGGTTCAATACATTCTTTTTTTTTTCTTATCTGCAGTGTTCCCTCCACTCCCCTCCCACCCTTAGCAACCAACAAAGAAAATTTCCCTCCATATATAAACCTTTCCTTGACCCTCCACAACAATGAGCTAATACTATATTTGACCTTCTGTCATCGACTTATTTCACTCAGCATGATGTCCTCCATGTTCATCCATATTATGCACTGTTTTGCAGACTCTACATTATTCTTTAGTGCTGCATAGCATTCCATTATGTGTATGTTCCGTAGTTTGGTCATCCACTCCTCTGCTATAAATCTTGTAGATAAGTCCCTTGCCAGATATGTAATTATTGGAAAATATGAATTTGTTGCTATCATTTTTGTTATGTGTTTTTTCGTGGTGTTGACTTCTTTGTTCCATATAATTTTCCATGCTGAGCTCATTTTGTTTATGAATCGTGTTATCACTTCCTTCATTGCTATTGTTTTAGTATTT